TTATGGGAACAAATTCGGTCAGTACTGGCACCTGAACATACTTCTGGAGTGAAAAAATATCGTTAACCGGGGGTCGAATGTGTTTCCTTTCTCATGATTAACTTTGCTGATAAGAAAATATCAGAGGATGTCCCAACTCACTTTGTATTGGCTTCAGATTGTTTACTCACAATGTTGTAATTATAACTGCATTATGTATACTTCTCTCTCAATACTGTATTAACTTTAATTTTTGAATTTTGAATTCTGTATAAAATTACACTTTCAACTTCAAATACAACTAAGTTTCAATTAGTGCGACTAATGAATACTGTGAATTTGTACTATTTGAATTTATATTTGCATGGTGAATATTTTCATCATGCTTGGCAACAGAAGTTGGTTGAGAAAATTGCAGTCACCCATAGTTTTAACAGCTGCAATTTTGAAAGTTTTTATTAGGTAGTAGGCCTTAAATGTTGAAATGGTTCCTTGAATGTGTAAAATATTTGTCACCAAAGTGTCCTAAAATTTTGCTTATTTTGAATATTTCATCTTCTGGTATGTTTTTGTAGAACAGTAACCCTTCTAGTCCTAGTAGAAGTATCAAGGCATGAAGAACCCTATGCCTTGATGATGGGCTCTTGATCTTCCTTGGATAAAATCTGATTGATTGCCTTTCATTCCTCGGTTGCTTTATGACCCTTAGGGGTTTAATGCTCTCCTGTGAATGTAACAGTAACACAAAAAAGTAACAGTTTTATAAATTAAAATATGTATGCATTTGCCTTACAAATACAGTATGTAATTTTTTCAGAGTTAGCAAATCTGGATGGTGTGGATGAACTTAGCATCATGATATCATGTGGGGATGCCCAGGAGTATGTCCCATTCGGGCGAGAATATTTGTGTTATCACCCAGGGGACGTCGGCTTGCCTCCGCCCAGACCAAGCCCAGCACCACCTCATCTGGATCTCATGAGACAGCTAGATACAGTCTCCATTAATGGTTCCAAGGTATTCTGGTTCTATTTTTAATTACTTCTGCATTACTGTGCTTTACGCAGTAATTATTCCAAGGAAATTTAGTTTATCACTCTGTGAACACTGCTTTTTTATAAATTTCAGTAAATCATTTTGTTATACGTACTTTAAAGTTTGTTGAGTGTTGTCGAATACAGAATATATAATTGTAAAAAAAAAAAAAATTATTTTACCACATTGGGGCGCTCCCACCTTGGTAGGGTAACTCAAAGAAGGAATGCATTCATCAACACTCACTCGTTTGGCGTCTTGCCAGAAGTTCATGGACATCACACTTTAAATAACTCTCTGAACTGCAGCATCATGATCCATTTACATTGATAACCCTGTAACATTTATTCACTGAAATAATACGTATGTTTTTTGGTATGTTGTGGATTAGCCCTTTCTAAGACCGTTTTTTTACTCCTATGACTTTTACAGTACCTTTCATAGCTTTTTATGAATTTTTGAAAGTGAATTAGTCATTATTTTTTACTTACGAGTGATTACAAATGATTGGAAAGTACCCTCTCCCAAATCAAGATCTACACTGCTTCATATCTCAGCTCCTTACTTCCCTGGGAAATGAGTTGGGGCTCTATGAGCAGTAACTTGAGGATGATGAAGAGTTCCTATTTTGAGAGGGTAAAGGCAAACACTGTTAAATAAGAGGAGAAAATGTGTATGGAAAAATGTCAGGGCCCTTGACCCAAGGAATTAAAGTTACTCTCCTCTTCCACAGATCAAACTTTATTATTTTCCATTCTCCAGGCACTGTATGACCCCTATGAGTTTAGCACTTCTCTCTTAATATACAACTTCACTCACTTAGTGACGTGCTCGTTTACTGACGCCTCAGACTTAAGTCTCTGACCAGTAATCATACCTAAATAATGTATATTAGAGCTGATTTCCTCTGTTCTGTTTATTTCACTATACAGTACACTACTGTATAAACATGTAAAAATATACCAGAAATGTTATAAATAATGCAGAGGTGACATTAAAACAACATCAGAGATGGTGGACACAAACTCACTACCATTATAGTATGCTCTTCACTTAGCAACAAATTCGTTTAACAACGTGGTCTTAGGAACGAAACTCCATCGTTAAGTGAGCAGAGGCTGTATTAATAATAGTTTTTCATGCAGTACTCTAGACCCTTAAGTTGTGGCAGACTGTGAAAAAATAATATTGTGTGCAAGGCAAAATTTAAAAAAAAAAAAATTCTGATAGATTCAGGGTACCATATTTTCTGGCATATATGGTGCACGAACATATAAGACGTATAAGACGATGTTTGCAAGCGCTTGTAATGTAACATTAGTAAACAACTGCTAAAGAGTAACCCAAATCCTACCCTTGACCTGACCTTGAGCATATAAGGAGCAGGCTGATTTTCCAAGACTTTTTGTGGGAAAAAAGTGCTACTTACATGCTGGAAAATACAGTACATACATGTTTCTAATTACAGTAGAATAAAAAATGAAATCAGATGAAAAATTATCCATTGTTGATAACATTGGTGATTTTTTAAAGCAAATTTTATTTTTTTCCAGTGTTTTTTTTTCAGTATTGAACACTATATAATGTACAACATTTTATTAAGGTAATAGAGTAGATCTTCAAGTTGTATTAGTATTGAAAACAGGCAGAAAAACACATCATACCATATTCATAATTTCAATATACACTTCAAATTTATTGAAATACTATATGTGTTTTCTTATTTCTTAGGACTTCTTGCCTTCCATCACTGTGAGAGGAAATTATTCCATTATAATTATTTCAAGATGTTTTTGCAGCAATTCCAAAAAATGCAGTTGCAACAGCAGCACAGTTGCAGCACCATCAATTTCATTATAACTTACTGTAGAATTTCCAGATGTTGACCCCCAGTAAATGAACTGCATACAAGACAGAGTGTCTTAATCATGCCCTCACTGATGCAAATGGTCTCATTTTTTCATAGTGTTATGAGATACCTGGCAACGCAGACAAATGGGGATTTTATCAAATGGTGTCGCTTTTTCAAATATGAAGGAAAACAA